GATAGTCTGCACCTGTTTCCTGTATTCGCTTCTGATAGAAAGAAATGGAAATACGCTGAGTTCAGAAATGCCCGGGGTGCTACATGCAAGCAAACACTGCACCGTTCTTATCGACTCACTAATCTTGACTCACGACGGGGAAGGCCTTTTTTTGGTTTAGCGCTCAGGAAGCAGCAGAGAACGCCTCAACTAGGAGAAGCTAACTGTTAGCATTAGCAACTCCACCCCACAGCTGAACTCCTTCAGGCTTGTGTTATTTGTGGAGATAAAACATTGCAGAGCAACAAAACACAGTGGTAAAGTCACATTGCTGTTATCCAGAGGAGAGATGTCCAAATACCAGGAAATAAGACTCCAACTCCTGCCGTCTGAAGCTACTTTCTCCTCCAGCCGAACCCGTCCTCCTCAAACAGGAGCACCTGTGCTTTTATTCCCCCGAGAACGACTCACCGGGCATTCGTTCCTACTAGAGACCACTGCAAACGTATTAAAAATATGAGTAAAGTTGACCTTTAAAACAAGCCGATCTTGTTTATTATGACATGATTTATTTCTGCGCACCACTAGAGGGAGTTTTCATACAACCACCACGGTTCTAAGCATCTAATACATAATGAGTGTGATGACTATTAATAAGTTAGATCCTTTAAACTGCAGAAGTGTGTTTCTGCATTATGCATCACTGCAGCAACGGTGCAGCACAGCCCAGGACCTGGGGGTGAAGTTTAACATCTGTTACAACAAAAGGACGAGAGCATCCTGATCGGCTTCTTCTTAGCCGTCTGTCCTGTTTCCTTCGGGGTGACAGAAGCATCGATGTTTCTGGTGTTGTTGAAATTACAGCTTTAGCCAAAACGAGCCTTTCAGCCTGGCCCTGACCCGAAAATAAGAGCCATTATTCATCGCTGTAAGCCGGCGCGTGTCATGCTGAGTTGAAAGGAAGCAGCGTCCAAATATAGGAGAAGAATACAGAAACCCTTTACGGTGATTTGTAAAGACAGAGCTGTCAATGGATGGGTGAGAGATCAGAGCAGGTGGTCAGAAAGAAGAGAGGAGGGGAAGCGAACGAAAAAAGGGTTGAGTGAAAATGGAAAAGAGCTCATCTGGACGTCCAGAGACGCCCGTCAAGTCCAAAGAATTCATGTCACAGATTAAAACCACCAGAGACAAAAAACTGAATCCTCAATGCAACAAAATCCCAAATGAAACAAGAACCCACGACCCGTAATTAAAACCCCACGAGACTAAACGGTGACGCGTTGCACAAACCTCACACGTTTATGCAGTTCTATCATAGAACACGTAGCAGCTCAGTTAGAGAACAGTCAGATCAAATAAGACACGGTCCTTTAGATCGAGGGACCAGTACAGAATCTCATCGGACTCTTTTCTCACCAAATATGCATAAATACAAACTTTAGCTGTGATGTCAGAAAATGTTTTCTGTGGGTCAAACCTCTGAGATCAGTAAATCTAGCCTGATGTTCAGCCAAACGTGAAGCGAAGCTTTGAGACGGAGCCACATTTAGGCGCTTTAGTCCCTCCTTCAGAGGCAGACTGATGTAAACAAAACGCTACCGTAGGTCATTCATCCCCTCTGCAGTAAGAGTGTATAACTCAGTTTAACTGGTACTATCACTGTCCTGGTACTTAATAACACCAATGCAGTACTCAGTATGTGTTCAGTACCTGTGCAGTACTGGATTTACATAGTACGTCTGTGTCCCTAACAATTTGCTGCACAGCTCTGGAACCCAAGTTTCATTTTTGTTTGTGGTTTTTAGTGTTTGAAGGGTGCAGTAATAGCTTACTGCCTATGAATATATACTTGTATTGTTGGTTTTTTGTTTGTTTTCTTTATTCTCTAACTGTTGGTGCTGCTGTGAAAAGTGAATTTCCCCACTATGGGATCAATAAAGTCTATTCTAATCTATTCTGTTCTATTTTGTCTCATTCTAGCAGCATGTTGTGGGTGATGTGATGTTTTAGACCTTTAAGGTAAAACTCCTGATCAAAATGAGCAGAACTCATGACATTAGGTTGTATTATTGAAGGGGAACTAGGCAGTTTTAGCTCGCTTTTAGCACCCCCTAGTGTCTGTTTGTAGAACTGAAAGCTAGACGTATCCCCTTGCTGTGCGTTTGTCTTTTTAACACCTTAAGCTTGGTTTATGCGTGACGCATTCACTTTCCGCTTGGTGATGCGGCTCGCGGATGGAACCCGCTTCGCACCTCGCAGCGTTTATGGTTCATGCAGCTTGTCTCTGCGGTGAGCCAATATTCTCCCAAACTGTAGGGGGCAGCATGGAGCTCTACGGCATGCATCCAACACTACACCATAGTAGAAGTAGAAATTACTGTTTACAACATGGCATTCCAGCATTTTTAACAGCGTCCTCGTCTTTTCCGACAGTGCGAGCTATTTCTCTCCAAGAATTATTAACAACATGTTGATCATGGTGATCTCTGAGAGCTGAATCATACAAATGTCTGTATTTACGAACCTCTGCCATACTAGTTCTTGCCGGTCCGCCATGTTTTTCCGCGTATGTACGTCCGCGTGGTTAGAAATTTTCAGAGGTGCGCGTTGCGGAAATTCTGGGCCGTGCGGAGACACGGTGGAGGGGCGTGGTTGTTAAAATGACGCAACTTTTCCGCGCGGAGCCGTGCGAACCTCGCGGACGCGTCAAGCATAAACCAACCTTTAAGCTGAAACGTCTCCCAGCCTTCTTTAGTGTCTACAGGAGTGATTCATCCCTAAAAACATGCAGGAAACCTGCTGGAAGCAGACTGCTGCGCCAGGTATGTCAGCTCCTTCTTTTAAAGTCCCAACAGAGCAGAGCCAGTTGAAAATATTCTGGCCAATGGGGGCGATAGTTCTTTCAAAAACTTTGTAAAGAATAATTTTAGCACATAGTGGCTCAAGAAAATAATTAATAGATCTGAAAATTTTGCAAAGTATCACTTTAACAACATCTAAATCCGGCTCAACTCTCTCTTCACCACAACAGACCGTTACCACGCCTTCACCACTGCACCGATTCACCTGTCGATCTCCCCACCCATCTTTCCCTCACTCATGAACAAAACCTCAGGATACTTTAACTCCTCCACTTGTGGCAGGACTTTGTACCTGACCCGGAGAAGGCATTCTACCCTTTTATGATTCAAGACCATGGTCTCAGATTTAGAGGAGCTGGTTCTCATCCCAGCTGCTTCCCACTCGGCTGCGAACCGCTTTAGGGAAAGCTGGCGATAATGTTCCGATAAAGCCAACAGTACCACATCATCTGCAAAAATCAGAGACCTGGGGTCTCATTTATAAAACATTGCGTAGAATCCTTTCTAAAACCGTATTTAAGCTCAGCAAAAATAAAAAGTACTTACACCAAGTAGGTTTGTGACCTATAAAACATGGAGTACGCACAGCTGCACACAATCTACGCTTTATAAATCAGAGACTGTCCTGTCCGCGCTCTTTGTTCCTCTACTGTTCCTCAACTCTCGGCTCCCTCCGCTCTCCTTGTCACCATGGGGAGTAGAGCATTCAGTCATTCTGCTCCCCACCTAGAAATGCCGTCAAAGAATCTGTGACAAAGGGCAGCCTTGGTGGAGTCCAACTGCCCCTGGAACAAGCCCGACTTACTGCTGGCATTGCTCTGACGCCGGTCGTACAGGTCCCTAACAGCCCGCATCAAAGGGCCTGGTACCCCATAATCCAGAGGCACACAGTCGAGCGCCTTCTCCAAAACACATGTAGTTTGGTTGGGCGAACTCCCGCACCCTCCAGGACCCTCCTAAGGGCATGAAGCTGGTCCAAGGTTCCACGGCCAGGATGAAAACCACATTGCTCCTCCTGAATCCGAGCTTCGACAATCCGACTGACCCCCCTCTCCTGAACTCCTGAATCGGCCCTACCAGCTGGTTGGATGTATGATTAAAATAAACAAAGGTAAAAAACACTGTGACCTGTGTGAATTATACTTGGGCTTCTCGAGTAACTAATTGAAATCTGATAAATAAAACACACAATAATGTTATGATCCAGCTTGGTTGTCTGAATCTATTCATTCAGCTAAAACAGAAGCAAAGACCAGCTCCGTTCCTGTAATTTAAAGATATTCACCAACGAACCAAAAGCTTCTACATGCTGCAGGAGTAATAAACGTACATTTTCTGCCTTTGTGAGCACAAACAGGAATAATTAAACACCCAGATTAATCGATGGAGGCTGATTTAAAAGGTTGAAATGGTTTCCGTGTTTCCATTAAACAACTAAATCATGTGTTTCCTGTTTCCAGAGGGAGATTCATTTAGAGAAACACCTGCAAATATTTTCATTACTTAGAGTTTATTATTGGATTTATACAGGAGATCGTTTTTTTTTACACCAAACCGAGTTTAAGTTACTCAAAAGCTAGAAGATTTACTGTCATCTATCCATAATTCATTTCATCAAAGGAGTTTTGGGGTTTTATTACGTGAATAATTATGCATGATGTCACAGCTGGTAGCTGAGTCAGAACCCTGACGGCGGACTTCTTACATGGAGCTGGCATGTCCTTCCCGTGCAAGGCCGTAGCAAAATGAATGAACAGGAAATGATCCCAGGAAGTTAAAATACAAATGTAGGTAGGCGTATATGTGGTGCAAACAGCTCACGTTGTCGTCTGCAGGCAGCCTTACAGATAAAATACTGTCATTAATCACTTTCCTGCAGCGCTGCACGGAGGTGAGGATGTGTTTTTTGACTGAAACAATTAGCAAATGAAATTACTTTCATCTGATTTACAGCTTTGATGTCTCTCCTCCTCTTTTTGAACACCACCATTTCTCCGACTAAATGCTTTTATTCTCTCATTTATTCTCGTTTGTGTGAACTCCACGAACCTCTAACTCTCCAGGATCTCACAGTGATCTCTGCAGCTCAGACCCACACAGACTGGTTTTGCCGGTGGGATTTCTTTTCCCAGGCTGCTCCAGCCGTGCCCGCCGCCTCACCTTTTGATCGTGGCTGTACGCCAGGATCCAGTCTTCCTGTTCGGGGTGGAAAAGCAGGCTCAGGATGTAGAAGTTCAGCCGGTACTTCTGGTACGTGGCCCCTTCGTCGGAGCTGATGAGAAGGCTGCTCTCCACCTCAGGGTCAGTCAGCAGCATGATCTAACAGCAGAATTAAAGGAATCATGTTCAAATCAGAGAGAACAAGGGCATTTTTACAGCTTTTCAGGTCAAAATAAGTCTTAAAAACTCACAAAAGTTTCCACCAGCAGTTCTGGAGTCTCTTGAGTTTCATGATTTAATCACAAAACTGATGCCCCTCAGTTTTATTTCTCAGAGATTTAAACCTATTTACCGACACACACACACACACACACACACACACACACACACACACATGCCTGAGAATCCAGAGACAACGTCTCCAGATGGAGACTAGGCTGTAGAGACGAACCATCGTTAGGAGTGAACAGTGACACGCCCCGAGGGGGTTCTGGTGCTTCTGCTGAGTGAAACAGCAAGATGAAAGTCTCAAACCAATATATCCTGCCCTGGACCCCCCACACCCCCCTCGATGTAATCCTCGTTAAAGCCCACACATGCCCAAGCTCAGTCCTGCGCTGGAAGAAACCGCATGGTCAGCATCTTTTGCTACAGGTCTCACCAGTGATGTCATTTCCCCTGCGACTGGGTTCAGTTCTCAGTTCTGCTTCTATCCTGCTGAGCTGAGGGTTAACCCATCCTGGCTGAACTCTAAGCTGTGTGAAAAGCCACAACTTTAATGTTTAATACTCATTTAGTGTTAGTTAGGGATGTGTAGAGCCACTCACGACTTGATTTGATTCCGATTCTCGGGGTGCCGATTCGATTCTGACTTGATTCTCGATTGAAATCGATTCACAATCAATATTAACAAAGAGCCTCAGTTCCAGGATGAACTACTTTGTTGTGCAAGTTAGTTAAAGCTATGGGAAATTTTTATTTGACTTTAAACTGGTCATGTTCATAAAATGCAAATTTACAATGTAAACTAAAGTGATTCTAAAACTGTAAACAGAAACAATCTTTTGACCAAAAGGCAGCATTTATTTTTGCTTACCTTGTAAAATATGACTAATCTTTAGTTACCTAACAGTAGCTTTGAAAGTAATACGGTCAAATACTTTTCAAGTATGTGTAGAAAAAAGTTTAACATTTGAGTCTGAAACCTGTTTAAAAAAGAGCCTCAGATTTCTTCCAAAGGAAAACGTGTTCTCTCATTTATCAATAACTCCTAATAAATACATGAGTAATCATGAGTACTCACTTATCAATAACTCCTAATAAATACATGAGTAATCTAGAGTACTCACTTATCAATAACTCCTAATAAATACATGAGTAATCTAGAGTACTCACTTATCAATAACTTCAAATAAACACATGAGTAATCTAGAGTACTCACTTATCAATAACTCCTAATAAATACATGAGTAATCATGAGTACTCACTTATCAATAACTCCTAATAAATACATGAGTAATCTAGAGTACTCACTTATCAATAACTCCTAATAAATACATGAGTAATCTAGAGTACTCACTTATCAATAACTCCTAATAAATACATGAGTAATCTAGAGTACTCACTTACCAATAACTTCAAATAAACACATGAGTAATCTAGAGTACTCAATTATCAATAACTCCTAATAAATACATGAGTAATCTAGAGTACTCACTTATCAATAACTCCTAATAAATACATGAGTAATCTAGAGTACTCACTTACCAATAACTTCAAATAAACACATGAGTAATCCCGAGTACTCACTTATCAATAACTTAAAATAAATACATGAGTAATCCCGAGTACTCATTTATCAATAACTTAAAATTAATACATGAGTAATCCTGACTACTCACTTATCAGTAACTTCTAATAAATACATGAGTAATCTAGAGTACTCACTTATCAATAACTCCTAATAAATACATGAGTAATCTAGAGTACTCACTTACCAATAACTTCAAATAAACACATGAGTAATCCCGAGTACTCACTTATCAATAACTTAAAATAAATACATGAGTAATCCCGAGTACTCATTTATCAATAACTTAAAATTAATACATGAGTAATCCTGACTACTCACTTATCAGTAACTTCTAATAAATACATGAGTAATCTAGAGTACTCACTTATCAATAACTTCAAATAAACACATGAGTAATCTCGAGTACTCACTTATCAATAACTTAAAATAAATACATGAGTAATCCCGAGTACTCATTTATCAATAACTTAAAATTAATACATGAGTAATCCTGACTACTCACTTATCAGTAACTTCTAATAAATACATGAGTAATCTAGAGTACTCACTTATCAAAAACTTCAAATAAACACTTGAGTAATCTTGAGTATTCACTTATCAATAACTTAAAAATAAACACATGAGTAATCCTGAGTACTCACTTATCAATAACTTAAAATAAATGCATGAGTAATCATGAGTACTCACTTATCAATAACTTCAAATACACACATGAGTAATCTCGAGTACTCACTTATCAATACCTTTAAATAAATACGTGAGTAATCCTGAGTACTCACTTATCAATAACTTAAAAATAAAGACAAGAGTAATCCAGAGTACTCACTCATCAATAACTTAAAATAAATACATGAGTAATCCTGAGTACTCACTTATCAATATCTTCTAATAAATACATGAGTAATCTAGAGTAACAACTTATACACACATGAGTAATCTTGAGTACTCACTTATCAATACCTTTTAATAAATACATGAGTAATCCCGAGTACTCACTTATCAATAACTTAAAATAAATACATGAGTAATCCCGAGTACTCACTTATCAATAACTTAAAATAAATACATGAGTAATCCTGAGTACTAACTTATCAATAACTTAAAAATAAATACATGAGTAATCCAGAGTACTCACTTATCAATAACTTCAAATAAACACATGAGTAATCTTGAGTACTCACTTATCAATAACTTAAAAATAAACACATGAGTAATCCTGAGTACTCACTTATCAATAACTTAAAATAAATGCATGAGTAATCATGAGTACTCACTTATCAATAACTTCAAATACACACATGAGTAATCTCGAGTACTCACTTATCAATACCTTTAAATAAATACGTGAGTAATCCTGAGTACTCACTTATCAATAACTTAAAAATAAAGACACGAGTAATCCAGAGTACTCACTCATCAATAACTTAAAATAAATACATGAGTAATCCTGAGTACTCACTTATCAATATCTTCTAATAAATACATGAGTAATCTAGAGTAACAACTTATACACACATGAGTAATCTTGAGTACTCACTTATCAATACCTTTTAATAAATACATGAGTAATCCCGAGTACTCACTTATCAATAACTTAAAATAAATACATGAGTAATCCCGAGTACTCACTTATCAATAACTTAAAATAAATACATGAGTAATCCTGACTACTCACTTATCAATAACTTAAAAATAAATACACGAGTAATCCAGAGTACTCACTTATCAATAACTTCAAATAAACACATGAGTAATCTTGAGTACTCACTTATCAATAACTTAAAAATAAACACATGAGTAATCCTGAGTACTCACTTATCAATAACTTAAAATAAATGCATGAGTAATCATGAGTACTCACTTATCAATAACTTCAAATACACACATGAGTAATCTCGAGTACTCACTTATCAATACCTTTAAATAAATACGTGAGTAATCCTGAGTACTCACTTATCAATAACTTAAAAATAAAGACACGAGAAATCCAGAGTACTCACTCATCAATAACTTAAAATAAATACATGAGTAATCCTGAGTACTCACTTATCAATAACTTCTAATAAATACATGAGTAATCTAGAGTAACAACTTATACACACATGAGTAATCTTGAGTACTCACTTATCAATACCTTTTAATAAATACATGAGTAATCCCGAGTACTCACTTATCAATAACTTAAAATAAATACATGAGTAATCCCGAGTACTCACTTATCAATAACTTAAAATAAATACATGAGTAATCCTGACTACTCACTTATCAATAAGTTAAAAATAAATACACGAGTAATCCAGAGTACTCACTTATCAATAACTTAAAATAAATGCATGAGTAATAATGAGTACTCACTTATCAATAACTTAAAATAAATACATGAGTAATCCCCAGAACTCACTTATCAATACCTTAAAATAAATACATGCCTAATCCTGAGTACTCAGTTATCAATAACTAAAAATTCATACATGAGTAATCCTGAGTACTCAAATATCAATAACTTAAAATAAATACATGAGTAATCCTGAGTACTCACTTATCGATAACTTAAAAATAAATACATGAGTAATCCTGAGTACTAACTTATCAATAACATAAAAATAAATACACGAGTAATCCAGAGTACTCACTTATCAATAACTTAAAATAAATGCATGAGTAATCATGAGTACTCACTTATCAATAACTTAAAATAAATACATGAGTAATCCCTGGAACTCACTTATCAATACCTTAAAATAAATACATGCGTAATCCTGAGTACTCAGTTATCAATAACTAAAAATTCATACATGAGTAATCCTGAGTACTCACATATCAATGACTTAAAATAAATACATGAGTAATCCTGAGTACTAACTTATCAATAACTTAATGATAAATACATCAGTAATAATGAGTACTCACTTATCAATAACTTAAAATTAATACATGAGTAATCCTGAGTACTCACTTATCAATAACTTAAAATTAATACATGAGTAATCCTGTGTACTCACTTATCAATAACTTAAAAATAAATATACGAGTAATCCTGAGTACTCACTTATCATTAACTTTAAATATAAACATGAGTAATCTAGAGTACTCACTTATCAATAACTTAAAATAAATGCATGAGTAATCCTGAGTACTAATTTATCAATAACTTAAAATAAATTTATGAGTAATCCTGGGTACTCACTTATCAATAACTTAAAAATAAATACGAGTAATCTAGAGTACTCACTTATCAATATCTTAAAATAAATACATGAGTAATCATGAGTACTCACTTATCAATAACTTAAAATAAATACATGAGTAATCATGAGTACTCACTTATCAATAACTTAAAAATAAA